GTTGTTGTTGTTGTTGTTGTTGTTGTTGTTGTTGTTGTCGATTTATGCCATTGTATTGCATCATTTTCCTGTATTACTTTTACATATAAGAAATACATTTACATTACGTAATTTAAATATTACTTGTCAAGTAAAAATTGTTAATAAGAATTTTTTTTTTCTTTTTTTTTTAATCTGAAAATTTATAAGCTTAACCTTTCTTTATTATAAGGAAATTGCGAACAAGTATTTTGTCCGGTTTCAAATTTTTTTCTAATTTCTTCAATCCATGAAAAGCCTATATTATTCATCGATGAAACCTGTATATGAATGATAATATTTGATAATTACAACTTTCCAATCAATATGGTTAATTTGTTTTCTGGGCAGAAGCTCTAGAAACTTTTTCATTATAATGAAACTAAACTTTCAGCTTAATTAGTTTAAGTCATTTTTGAATTGAGAAGTAGAGAGATTCTTTTCATAGTTTGTTTAAGGTTTTGTCTCAATATTGCTAAACTACAAATCACTGCTATATTATAGCTAATTTGCTCGAGATGTTTGAGATGAAATGAATAAAAATATATATATATCATTTTACAGAAGATTTCAAACAATGTAGACTAATCTCATCATCATAATTTTGCTTTAATCACTAATCTCTTTATCACGATTCTGCTTCTATCATCAATCTCTTTAGCATGATTTTGCTTCATTTACTAACCTTTTTATTGTGATTTTGCTCCATCGATATTTTCTGTTTCTGCTTTACTAATTTATTATCAACTTCTCGACCATTACTGTATTGCTTCTCCACAACTGTTCGATCAGCAGCATTTTCAGTATCATCAGTAAAGTTCCGAAATTGTCGTCCGGTTTCTGACATCATCACAGCAGAAGATTTCGGCATACAAAATGACTTGTCTGTTCAACAAATGCAAGATAAGTCATTTTCTGTGTGATGGAATTAAATTTTAAGTTGCAAGTTTGATTTTAATTCAGCATACATTCCTCTCGCATTTCAAATTAATAACACATTGATATCAAACAATGCTCAGTTTGCGAGAGGACATGATGATATGTGTGAAAATTTAACTGATAATATTTTTGTTTGATAATTTTTTTGAGTTCAATACATTTTTCAGAGTGCCAAAAGAAGAAGATAATTCAGAAGTTTAAGATAGCAGAAAGTCAGTTTATGATGGCAGTTTTTCAAATTCAAATAACATCATTCAGTTATTAATTTAAAGCAGATATATTTTGAACTAGAAATTAAATCTAAAACTTACTGTTAAAAAAAAATGATTAAATAATTATTCTGATAATTAAGATATTTCATGAAATTTTCTAGAAATATATGATAATAACATTAATCGAAAGTAATAATACTTTTCAAAATTTGCGTTGTATTTGCTGATTTCTCCGACAAACTTTTGCATGTTGAAATAGCACAACTTCCAGTACTGCCATCACTTTTCTTGGCCTCTTTATCGATGGTATCAGTATCAGTGCGATAATAACGTTTTCGATTATTCTAAAGAAAAAGTAAATATGAAATTAAAATTTGCAATGAACAGAGAGAAAAGGAGAGTGAATAAAATCAATTTTTTTTTTATTTTCAATAAAACTGAAAATTAAACTTAATCAAAATGGATAAATTTAACTTCTTTACCAATGCATCATTCGATCGTATAGATGAAATTGGTAAATCCTCATGATTTTCCTCAATCCATCGTTTTGTTCGTTTCATTGGTGGTATCATTGGCGCAAGCTCAATAATCTCATCATTTTTTCTAAAAAATTTCACTAAATTTAAAAGTTATAAAAAATTTATTTATAATTTTAATTGTAAAATTTATTTACATATATTTTTAAGTTTTATAAATTTACGATCTTTATCAGTAAACTTTATAAGTTCAAAAGTCGTATTCATAAGTGAATGATCATAAATAAATTCTACACATCTAAATGAAAATACGAAAGTAAAAGAGATTTTAGAAATCATGTTTAGGAATCGAATTATTTGAATGTGAATTTCAATATTACTATTATATATCATTTCCATCATATTCTAAAATTATTCTTTTTTCATTCAATCCTAAACATTATCAGCCAATTTAATGTTTGAATAAAATTTTTAATAATATTTTTTTTTTCTATCAAATAATTTTATTTGAAGATAATTGAATCCCAACATTCATTTAAATATTCATTATATCAGTAAAAGATTTTTATCCTTTTTTTTTTCATTTAATTTTAAGCAAT